CACCTCAACACCTTGCTACACAGCTGACGATCCTTGGTTCCAGTTTTTTCGTAGGTCCGCAGATTCCTTTCCACACTCAGGGCTTCCTTGTAGGTTTTGAGCACTCGACAAACTGTTGTTTTCGGCATCTTCAGCACTTTAGCCAGCTTGGAACCGGACCACTCCGGATTTTCCAGGTGTTTGTGCACAATATTTTTTCTTCCTTCGAGTTCCAAAAGAACGTCAAATTCTGAACGCGATCGACTACTTTGATCAAATTTGCACCAGTTGTTCTCTATAGAAGTGTAAACAAACCACTGTTAAAGATGTTCGATTCCCAACACTAGAGGCGTGCTAGCGGCACGCGAAGGGCGTACCAATTTACATTTAGTCAGCCTTTCAAGAAAAAGATACCTAGTGTCTTCAGCAAAAATTCCTGTTATGATATTTTATAACATTTTGAAAAAAAAATAATATTAGATCTCAATTCTAGGGAGATTAATCATTGATCTATCTATGTCAAAAGCAGGGGCACCAAGCTTTTCACCGTTCTGGAAAACTGCTGTGCGTCATAGAAGCACACGGTAAAAAGTTGTCACATCTAATCTAATCTGTGCACGACACAGGTGTAAATAATTTAAAAAAATGCGTTAAGATTTTTATAGATTTTATGATCACATTTCCCAAATAACATTGCAAGCTTTATAGAGGTTGTATAGCATTCTACAAGTCTTAATCATGGTCTATAGAACCCTTATAAAACCAACATTGTTACTTGGGTATAGCTGTACTAGCATAGAGGTAACTCTAAGACCACTGGGTCCCGAAGAAAATCATTATTATTTTTGGCTCACTCAGTACCAGAACAACGGTCCCAAGCAGTCCCAAGCTATTTCACTCACCCCTGCATGTTCTGCATGAATCCACACACCCCTGATGTTATCTGTCAAACTTTCATAGCGAATCAAAACAAACATAGTGTAGTAATAGAATTTCAACTAGAATAGGGTACGTTAATCGTTTGCTTGGAACCAATAGGCTACTAAAGTGGTGAGCTAATTTAAAATCGTTAGTTTCGTATTGTACCAACAAACTAGTGTGGTTTAATTAAATCTTCAGCCTTGGTTTTCTTCAAAAAGGATTAAATTCAGTTGCAGTGGTCTGCCTTATCCCTAATGCTTTGATTTCTAAGCATGTCGATATCACTACCATGACAAACTTGAAGCTAGCTTTTTTGGGTGGCTGGTGGCAAGCTTGTGAATGGTCAAAGCCTGATGTAAGCCAAGCAGACCTTCTATCACCTCTTGAAACATACCACACATTTTCCACAATACATGACGGTTTGCACCACTAGTTGTAATTGAAACTTTCAGCAGTCACGCGTCAAACGGGAGCAACACAGAAATAGCAGTCTGGTACGCTTTGGACGTGTATCATACTTGCAGACCGGTTTGAGTGTGTGAGTTTAAATTAGAAGAACATTTGTGATGTATGGGTGCCTAATGCTGGGTTTAGACTAGGCAAGTCAAATGATCAACTCAGTTGAATTCAATTGGCTTGAAAAGTTGAGCCTGGTTCAACTTTTTTCAATTCAAGTGAGTTGATCAAGTCAGTTGAATGGCATGGTTTACACGTACAATTCGCGTTCAAATCAGTTGAACTCAACTGACTTGATCAATTGACTTGCCCTGTATAAACCCAGTTTAAAGCGTGCATTTATCGCTGTGCACTTGGATGTCTGATTGCAGGCAAAGAGAGTAATGCTGGGTTTAGACAGGGCAAGTCAATTGATCAAGTCAGTTGAATTCAATTGGCTTGAAAAGTTGAGCCTGGTTCAACTTTTTTCAATTTAAGTGAGTTGATCAAGTCAGTTGAATGGCATGGTTTACACGTTCAATTCGCGTTCAAGTCAGTTGAATTCAACTGACTTGATCAATTGACTTGCCCTAACTAAACCCAGCTTAATGGAGAAAGAGAGCACAAAAGCTCTCTCTCACTCTCTTGTCACTTGTAAATCTCTCAATTACCGATGGTTGCACCGGTGTGCCTGTCAAAACTATGAGCTTCTCCTGGTTCATTCTGATAGTGTTGGTCTGATGATTAAAAAGTTGATTAATTCAAGTTTGCTACCCAGGGAACTTCATGAATTTTCTCTAGATTTTGACACTGTTTTATATCAAAAAATGTTTTCGGAAGTGTTTGACGGATATTCTTCATTACACTTCACTCGAAAGAATTAGCCTTGTGATAAAAAGGAGAATTAGTTAAGTTTTGAAATTCCTCCTACTTCGGTTAGCGCGAAAAAGGCCACACAAGTTTTGTTTACACAAGATGATAGACCCTTGAAATGTTAGGTTAGGTAGTGATTAGTAAAGTAATTGAAAATATGTACCTCTAATTCATGGATCATTTAAAATTAAAACAAAAACTAATATGTGGTGTTAAACAATAACGAACAAAGTTTGGTGCACAGGTAAACAAATGAGGCACTCGACGCCTCTGATCTAATCCAAATGTTTTTGCACATGACTTAGTCTGTCATGCGGCACTACGAATCGATGTGATTTATCATTGATTTTAATGTGATTTGAATTTTGAAACAAAGTGATTTGTCGTTGAAAAATATGTCCTGTATAACACCTTTAAATTAAAATGATCATGATTTGAATTCCCTAATAAAAATAACCATAAAGGAGAGCTTAACGATGTGTTCGGGGTATCATCCAAACCATTTTTGGGATAGTTTACCCATCCGGGATACAGTTCGTTTATGGTATTTGTTTATTAGCGTTGGCACCACTGTTTTCATCCATTGAATTTGATTATACCTTGTACAGACATACAAAGTTCACTGTTGTACTACCGTTGTACTGCTTTAAGCTAGTACCACAAATTGTACGTTTTGAGGTACTTGATTAAAGGAGTACAACGGTACTAATTTGTATGTCTGTCTATGGTATTAGTTTTGCTTTTGGAAGCAAATGTCAAAAACGCACATGCTAAACATTACTCGCGAAGATGGCAACAAGAGAAGTGATAACTCTTCATTTTCACCCGAAATAATTTGCATTCTAGAGCGTGAGTATTATGAAATTGTTGCTGTATTCAATAATAGTGTAAAATAGAACCTCTATTACAAACCATTGTCAAACTTATCAAATTTATTGCTGAATGTCTCGTCTTGCTTTTAGTATACTACAAGCCTTGAAATGTTGTTCAATATCACTTGGAAACATGTGATCTGGGTAGTAATATGATACATTTTCTATGGTCGTATTGTGAATAACATATAACAAGGGTTGCAGTATTAACAAGGCAACATATTATTTAAATCCATATTCAGCAAACATGAAATCCAAGGATAAATTAGTTAAATTTAAAGTGATAGATTTTTAATATCAGTATGCTTGACATTTCGAGTTCAAAGCACAGCACATCATCAACGATGTACAATACAATCCAAAGTGAAGTGATTGGCTGTTGATTTCATCGTGCATCGATATGATCTCTTCCAAGGGATCTGCACATCGAATTGCAATGTTTGTCAAGTAGTGCAAATTCAACAGCAAATCCTTTTACATGAACATGATGTTTTTTACCGTGCACCGTCGGTGATAGAAGTTTCAAAATTGTACCCTTGCGAAAAATTAAGAAACATTAGGTTGGATTCAAAATTAACTAAAGTGGAATCAAATGGAAGATAACCTTTTCTCAGGATTTATACGCTTGATTCAACAGTATAAAATTATGCTCTGATTTATGCTGCGTTAACCGTTAGGTCAACCAAAACGAGATCAACTCGAGTATTAAAATAGGATGCATCATAACTGCACATTTTTTTTTTATTTCAAGCTTGGCTCAAGCTGAAGATCAAGCTTGGCTCGGGTATATGAAAATATTTCCTTGTCCATACACTCAGGCATTCAAGTTTTCCACACTCCATAGACACCACTAAAATGTTCTCACACATCGCATTGATTTTTGCCATCAGAACACACCTTCTTGCCCACTATGCTTCGGCCAAAAGCATTCAATTTCGATCACGAAATGCTCAAACATTGCTCCACCGGCAAACATTCCTATATGTACATAATTCAAATGTTGATGCTGCGACCGAAATCATGTGAGAGAATCAAAAGAGAAAACCCCATCAAAACAGAGAGCGAACCGAACAGTGAGAGTCGTTTTCCGATGATTTTCCTCTCATCTCCCTGCACCTATGATGGTGCTTCGATCGAATCGGATCGGATGCATCCGGGGGCCTCCCATAGCTCAGTCGGTAAAGGCGCAGCATGACTGGGTTCGACTCCCGGTCCGGTTTAGGAATGTTTTGGGTTGAGAAATTTCTCGACTACCCTGGGCATAATAAAGTATGATGATTCCACACAATAATACTAATGCATAAATGGTACAGGCTTAGAAAGCGCTCAAATTAACAACTGTGGAGGTGCTCAACCGAAATTTTTGTCAGTGCAAACTGAACTGAATCATAAACGAATTCGCTATAAGTTGAGGGCCAGTAGCGACGTAATGAAGCCAAAGAAGAAGAATCGGATGCATCCGTGACGCGAGAGGAGAGCGAGGAAAAGTGTATGTTTTGATTGTTTCGAAGTCAAATACCTTTTGGTTGAATGGGTTGGCTGGGTGGTGGGATGAAGCGCCACTCGCTGGATGCGAAAATATGCAGCGAGTTGTTGCTCGCCGAAGCCAGCGCAGGTTGGGTTGGGCGGTAAATGCATGTAATCGAGAGTTTGTTTATTTATGTTGGGCTCCGTCGATGGATGGTGGTGGGATGGTTGGGTGCGCACGTCGTCTATGAATTCTGTTCGCAAAGAAAGAGGAAGGTCGTTTGGTGTTTTTTTTTCACTCTCCATGGACCTACCACTTATTATTCGGAGGCAGGTGGGTTGAGATTGAGATTGAATCGAGACACAAAGGAATGCAAGTGTTCTGCAAGTGAAGCTGTTCGCTGCACGTGAAAGATTGACTGACGGTTTCTTTTTTCTTCGAATGGAACGGAATTGCTATGATGTCTTTATTGTCATTTTAAATGTTTGCACCATTGCACAGAACTACGACTGATTTTGAATCTTCACACAAATCACACCCTACACCTACACTCGCTTCCAAGTTCTAACACTCATGTCGATCAGATTACAGTAACTTCCCCTTTGATTGGATTTCCAGTTACATCGCACAGTTTTGTCATTAGACAGCCATCACAACCAATCCAGCAGTGTGGGCGTAAAATACGTGATGATGCAATCTGCTCCGGCACGACGCATCCCAATCAGCACCTCCCACAGGACGGTTCGCAAATCGAAGGCACCGATTTTGCCGGCGTTCAGCAGCATCGAGTATTCGCCGGAGACCTGCGAAGAAATGTTGGGGATTGAAGTTAGTTTGGATTGTATAACTTTCCGGTTGTCACACAGTAAAAATATATGTAATTTATAATATTTATTGGATCGTAATATTCTAACACACCTAAATACGAATGTAATGACGCAGAAAACGGAAATCATACCAACATAAGTAAATGTTTATTGATGTGCTCAATTCCGTCTAATTTCTATACATTTACTGCCCGAATAAGAAGTTTTCCAGTTCATGACATTTAGAAGCATATATTTTTTTCTACGTTTTTGATGCGATAGTAATTTTTAATTTTTTGCTTTAGTATAGGTATTAAGGACAAGTTTCAACGAAAATTAATTTAGAAGCAGCGTTGCCAACCTTCCAGATTTATCTGGTTCTTTCAGAATTATATGAACCATCTGCAGACAGACTCCAGACTTTGATGATTTGTTCGGATTTTTCCAAAGTTTTCAATTCGCCTTGGTTCACAATGTTCACCCTCCGTTACTCGTGTTGCTGTACTTTATACAACATATATGAGTTTTCCATTGCCATTTTGTTGCTGAATTACCAATCGATCTAAAACCAATGGGTATTCCTCAAAAAACTTATTTGAACTAAACAAGTTAAAGTATGGTTACAGTAAACCCCCACAAAATACGAATTATAGGAAAAATGCAAATGGAAACTGCGTAGACGGTGTCCATACTACGTGGAATTTGACTTTATTGGTTACAACATGGAATATCTCGAAATCCTGACTAGATAGAAAGTCACTGTCTTCGGCAAAGTTGTTCAGGAGATCATAATATTTTCTTTGTTAGACTCACTACGTAGCGCTAGTATACAAGTGAAATTCTCGCATGTGATATATTTCGAGATCCTGACCAGATAGAAAGTTACTGTCTTCGGCAAAGTTGTTCAGGAGCTCAAGGTCTTTTGGCTGGTGGGACAGTAGTTCAGAGTTTTCTTATTTCACGGCGGTAGTATACATTAGAGATAGGCGAACGCTCATGAACCGCTTATTTGATCCGGTTCGGAAGAAAAGAGCGAACGAACTACGGTTCTACAAAATTGAACCGCGGCTCTCAAACGAGCCACAGCTCAAAATTGAACGGCGGCTCACTATGAGAATGACGCACGAACCATGCTTCAAGAGCCCCGGCTATAGCAAATTAATAGCGAGTGGAGTGTGGAACCGAACTTTTTGTCAGTGCGAACCTCAACCTGAGGCAGGTTTTAAAAACAAACGATCAAACTGAGATTTGTTAGAAAACAAGCCGAGCCGATCTTGATACCCGATCCAGGTTGAAACTGAATAATAAAAAAATCGCTATAAGCCGCTGCTGTCAGATTCTGATAATGTTTATGTCTCTCTTCTTTCCTTTCTTTTTTTTTATTATAGTCACTTTAACACTTTTGCGTCATTCGTGACTTGTCCGGGGTGAGATTTGAACTCGTGACTTTGGCGTGAGAGGTATGGATGTTAACCACTACGCCGGGGTCGCCCCCAAAACTCTCTTCTTTCGTTATCATTCGGGGGCAGAAAAGAGCTGAACGTAAAAAAGCAGGAGGCTGGCAATCCTATATCAATCCTATACGTTTGACAGCAAGCAACATCACGGGCCTTATTTAAGGCTCTGAACCATTTGGTGGATTATTTTAACTTTTGGTTAAAATTTGACAGATGGAAAATTATCGATTAACCCTGCTACCCAAGCGTGGTTATTTCTGACAGGCAAAAAGTTCAATTTTGACGACCGTGGCTCGAAAGCCGGTCGATCGACAGCACGGGGATTTTCGAACATAAGAAATAACTTTCGAAATGTCACTTTTAACTACGAGTTACATTTAACTCGGCAAATGGTTCACAGCCTGAATACGGCCCGCCTGACGTATACATGGTGGAAAGGGACGGAAAATCATGTTATAAGCAGAAAGACAAGAGCAGATGATAGCATCAAAAACATGGCCGCTAGCCAGGCCCCTGTAAAAAAGCGAGACGCAGATGAATGAATGTTGCTGTTTAAAATCTCGTTTGTTTGGTTTGCTTATGCGAGTATACACGAAACAAAAATCAATTATTTAATTCATGTGTTTCACTTATACATTTTTGCCAAAGCATCAGCCTTATACCTTCCATAAGACAAACCACATAGGTCCTATTAGAATGCATAAAAGGTATGTGTGACCACTTATACATTTCATTTGACACATGATCTTTATTAACTTTTTGCAAGGCGTCTGCTTATTAGTTGACTTATACAATTTATGAATAATCAGCAATGGAAATTTGCCATAAGGTATAAGGAGATTTCTATCCGTGTAGTCCATTCTATGTGCGCGAGTATTGATGGTCCGAAAGTGGTTGCTTCCACTCACTTGCTATAAAAAAATATTTTTCGGTATTATGCAATCATTAGATGTTATAATGATATGTTGTACTAGTAAGTAACAAGAAGAGGGGGTAAAGTATGTGTTTGACTCATAAAACCTGTCAATTTCGCTTTCAGAGCGTCACAATCAGCGATCATATGATTCGTGAGAGTTCACTCAGAGTGAGCGCTCACGAGTCGTAAAATCGCTGATTGTGACGCACTGAAAGCTATATTGGCAGATTTTATGTGTCAAACATATACTTCATGACCTCTTCTTGTAACTTACAAGTACTAATTAGCATTATACTATTTCATGATTTCATAATTCCGAAAAGCATTTTTTTATAGCAAGTGAGTGGAAGTAACCCTGAAACAAACCAACATTTTTGGCTCGGAGCGAAAGTGAGGATAACAAAGTTCGCACTTCAAAATGGGGCTACGCAAGTGTGCGTGTTATAAACGTCAAATCTCAATTGCAACTTGGGATACGTAAGAACAAATAGCGTTTTCTCTAGGTTAGGTTATCTTTATTGGCGAGACTTGTAGTCAGAGGCTGGTTCATCTCTTGACGAATATTGGAGAATCCTCCCTAGGGTCCTCCCTAGGGTCCTCCCTAGTGACAGAGTTTGAAATAGCGATGGGAAGCCAGAAGGGATCCCCTAGTTATAGAGTTAATAAGGTGGGGTATCGAGAAGGGACCCACTAATTAAGAGAAGTGGACAGTCTAGAAGAGACCTCCCTTGTAACAGAGTATTTGTTTAGCAGAGTTGGCTGTCGTAGTTAGTAGATGTTCCTGGTTTGATGCTTTTGGTCGACTAATTATTATGGTTGTGTATTCAGAGTCCGTTATAGAGGTTGGTCCTGGTTAGATGCAGTGGGTCAGTATTGTTTGGTTCTTGTCAGTGAGTTAGGTCAGATGTTCTTATACATGTTGGCGTCCTTGATGAAACATATAACAGCTGCTTCGGTTGAAGGGTCATTGGCCAAGGCGTTTCTAATTTTCGTCGGGATCCCATAAAGATTCCTAATTCCTTGGAAACCTGTGCAATTCATTAAGAGGTACTCTACCGTCATCGTTGTGTTGAAAATATCACAGCGTTTTCGGAACGAAGTCGTACTTCCACTATTGTGGGTCGTCCGAGTATGTCCTGAGCGGAGACGAGAAAGAATCAGTTGGTCATGACGGTTTAGGGAATCTTGCCACTTGCTGTTTTGCCCTTTGATTTTACGGAGGAACGGTTCTCTTTTGCCGGCCCACTCCTGGGCGCAAGCATTCCGAAGTTTGAACTTCATCCAAGTCTTGATATCAGGTCCTGGAACGGTTTTAGTAACGAGCATTCCAGATCGGCCCGTAGTCGCAAGATGCCCTGGGATTCTTAGGAAGGTAGTGTTCGACGGAGCTTCCAGTGGGATACCTTGGATCCAAGGATGTCTGAATGTCTGGGATTCCAAAGCTGTTAGATAGCACTTGCAGAGTCCGAAAGGATACAGAGCGGTTTGCTGGCGTGCATGGTAATGGCGTGGAAGATTTCCGCACTTTCCGCAGAGAACGCAGAGCACTGGGTCTTAGAGCCATCCGTATATCTGTGGTGGTGGTCGGAGTATTTCGTACGAAGCAGTTCAGTCACGTATGCGTTCATTTCTCGCGAGTTGTTACCAGCCTGGAATCGTCTAGCAACCGAGAGGTCAACGTGAAGGCTTGGTTCTGCCCATCCTCTGGTTCCGGTCCAATGTAGTCTCGACACTGGGGGGAGCTCCTGATGGGCCAGGTTTCTTAGAGCTCTGTTCCCCTCTCTGAGGAGACAGATTTCTTCGTTTCCGGCAGTCTTCTCCAAATAGCTTATTGTTCTGCTTACCAGGGCCTCGGCAACTTGGTACCGGAAAGGCAGGACACCGAATTCAACACATGCCGAGTCCGCAGGAGTGGACGGTAGGAGCCCAGCTGCAATACGGATGGCTTGATAATAAGTGGGACCTAGCCGCACAATGAAGACGTCACTAGCCGTACAGAAAATCTTATTTTCGTAGAAGATTTTACTGTTGACGATGGCTTTTGCTAAACCTAAGCATAATGTTCCTGTTGTTACTACGATGAGGGCTGGAAAGTGTCCGCAACAAGATAAGTTTTGTGCGGCAGCCAGCTGTTCCGTACATTGTTAAAATGAGGAGCGAAGCTTAACATCCGATCCAAGAGCACCCCAAGTATTGTGACCGTCTTCCGGAAAGGTATTGTGGTACCATCACACTTAATGGCTGATTGTAATGTACGGTGTGAGGATCGGCAGTTGTGAGGGACTTCGCTTTTGTCGGCTGAGAGCACGAATCCCACCTGGGACGCCCATCTTTGTGTGGCCGATACAGCTGCCTGAAGTTTCCTATGTAGGGCTTTGCGGGTACGGCCAATTGCCAAGAGAATTACTGCCCATATAAGCATAACTGTCCCATCTTTGCTTGCTTTCCTATTCATATGGGACAGTTATGCTTTTTGAAAAGGAGCCTCAAGGATCCCATTCATTGCGACCAGGAAAATAGTGACCGCAATGACGGAACCCTGTGGGACTCCTGTCTCTTCCGCTCGAATTGAGAAGTGGTGATTCCTGATTAGGACCTGAAAGGTCCGGCCGCAGAGAAAATTT